AACCCACATGCCCACCCTTTTCCTTTTCAAGTGGGATCCCAACAAAACTGTTGGAACCCTCTGTAAAGAGAAACTCCAAACAACCAACACACACACACAAAGGCAATAGGCAAGGATAATAGGAATAACAGATTGTATTAATAGCTACTGAATGAAGAAACAGAACAAATGCAATTAGCAAACTGATATCCCAGCAGTTCGAGGAGCTGGGGACCTCCCACCCAATTTCAGAATATAAACTAATCCTACCCTCCACTTCTTTCCATTTATAAGCAAGTTATTCCCTTTGTAACAGACTTGACAGCCACCTGTCCAGCCACCTGTCCAGACTCATAACAGACTCAACATCCTAACAACTTTATTGTACACCTCAACCCCTGAAAACAAACTCATACCCAGCACCTCTTTATTCTTATTCCTACTTTGCCTTGGATTTTAGACCTTATGTATGGGAGGTCTAACAATACCCGCCCCTCGAAGTGCCACCTGTCCTCAAGGTGAAATTGAGGAAATTGACTGTTTATCACCTCAAAGGGTTCCCATGTGGCATCGAAAGTGGGCAGATCGTGCCATCGAATGAGAACCTCTGTAGTGCCATCTATAAGAGACCTTATATCCAGCAATCAGCTGGGAACTTGCAGTTCCAAGTCCTCGGTGGACAGGGCGGTAGAGTGTACAGGAACCGAGCTATGCAGGCTGTGTTTCAGCTGAGATACGTGAAAGACCGGGTGAATGCGGGCCGTCGGAGGTAGTTCTAACCTGTAAGCTACCTGACCGATTTATCCAAGATCCGGAAAGGTCCAAGAACTAGGACTCAGTTTTTCATTCAACCTTGTGGCCAGAGATTTAAATCGGTAAGGTTGTAGGCGAAGGTACACGTGATCTCTAGGAGAAATGAATTCCTGCGATGTCGATCTGCTGTGTTTTCATATGATCTTGTGCTACTTCCAGGTTGTGTTTAAGGTCCTGAATGATGGCATTTCGCTCACTGATCTGTTGGTTTACTCAGCAACCGGGAAGGATAGTCTGTGAATTTCAGGAGAAACGGGGGGTCACGGCCGTACAAGGCTTTGAACGGGGTCATCTTGGTAGAGCGATGATATGTCGTATTGTACCAAAATTCAGCCAGGCAACCAATTCGGCCATTGACGAGGCTGTGAGCTACAAAACAGCGAAGATATGCTTCCACACACCTGTTGACCACTTCGGATTGACCATCCGTTTGAGGATGATAAGCTGAGCTAAACTTCAAGGCTGTCCCGGATACCTGAAAATCTCTTGCCAAAATTGACTCATGAAAAGTCTATTCTATCGGTAATGATGGTTCGAGGGAACCCGTGAAGCTTCACTATGTCTTTCATGAATAGTAGGGCCATCCTTAGCGGTTATCGGGTGCGATAAGAGTAGAAAATGGCCATATTTGGTCAAGCGGTCAATTACAACCAGAATGGTATCGAATCCCTTGGCCCGTGGGAGTCCTCCAATGAAGTCCATTTTCAAGTCATCAAATGTGCATGGGTATCGGAAGAGGCTGAAGTAATCCGGTTGGTTTCAAAGCTGAGGTGTTATTGACTTGACATATGGTGCAGACTTTAACATAGTTCTGGATATCCGTCTTCATGCCTATCCATAAGCGATATTGGCTACCCTTTTATATGGCCGGAAGAAGCCCGAGTGACCACCAGTTGGGCTGGAGTGAAATTCAGCAAGTAATTTCGGATGAACCGAGAGTTTTTGGCAGAACCAGTCTGTCCTTATACAGTAAAAAAGCCGTGGCGAAGTCTGTAGTTGGTCGGCTTGGGTGCTACAACCAAATCCTGAATCATGTCTAAGCTTGGGTCTGTGAGCTTCATTTGACAATTCTTCAAATTCTGTAAACTGACTTACTAACAAGGATGATAATTCAGGTCTCTCTCGTCGGGATAAAGCATCGGCACTTATTTGTGGTTCTTGGCCAGTAGTGAATATCGAATGAAAAAACCATTAACTTGGATACCCATTTTTGTTGTTCTGGGGTTTTAATCCGCTGATCTTTGAGGAACTGGAGGCTACGCTGGTCTGTGCGTATGATAAATTTTTGCCCATAAGTAGGACCCATTGTGTACGCAAACACGCGGCCATTAACTCTCGTCATAAACTGATTTATGTCTATGAGGGGAGAAGGCTTTACTTAGGTAAGCTATGGGTCGTTTGTTCTGAACTAAGAACGCCCCCATTCGTAACCCGAGGCGTCTGTGTGAATCTCGAATGGAGAGTTGAAATCCGGGGCTGCCAGAACAGGTACTGAAGTCATGGCCTCTTTTAAAGCCTGAAAGGCTGTTGTGCTTCTTGGTCCCAACGAAGGATTTTCTCAGTAGTTTTGTAGTGGCTGGGCGATGGTGCGCGTATCCTTTACAAACCTGCGTAATAACCTGTTAATCCCAAAAAACCACGAAGACTCTTCACATTGGTGGGTGTGGGCCAAGAAACCATCGCGGCAATTTTGTGGACTGCCTCGACCCCATTGGGCTGAAATCAAATGCCCCAGATATTCCAGCTTCTGCTGCCCAAACAAACATTTTTTTAAATTCCAACCAATTTGTTTTCATCCAGAATCAACTAGTGTGCCGCAGGTGCTTGATGTGGGATTCCAAGTCGGGGCTGTAAATCAGAATATCATCAAAAAAACAAGCACAAACTTACGCAAAACTGGTTTAAATATGCTATTCATCAAAGATGAAAAGTCGAGGGGGCATTGGTCAAGCGAACGGCATAACCAGAAACTCGTAGTGCCATCATGTGTTCGAAAGGCGCTTGGGAATATCTGTGCCCTGATTCTAATCTGGTGGTATCCGGATCGAAGATCGAGTTTCGAGAAAATCGTTGCCCTGCTAATTCATCCAGCAGCTCTTCATGGTGGGAATTGGGAATTTGTCCGGAATTGTTATGTCGTTAAGAGCCCTGTAGTCAACGCAAAACCTCCAATTCCATCTTTTTTCTTAACTAGCAACACTGGGCTGGCGAACGGACTGGTGCTGGGCTGAATGATTCGGGCGCTAACATTTCTTCCACCAACTTCTCAATCTCATTTTTGAAAATAAGGATACCGATAAGGACGGATGTTAGGTATTGGTGCTCCTTCTTTAGGTTTATGGCGTGGTCATGGGTGCGGTGTGGAGGGAGTTGGTGGGTTGGTCAAAAAGGTGTCTAAACTGATCTACCACTGCCTGAACTCTGGACGACTTCTTCCTCTGTGGTCGTGACAACTCTCCCCATGAGTAGCATCACCAGAATTCCTCCCCCATTATGGGGAGGGTCGAAACATGGACTTCAGGGAGACAACTGCCTTCACAAGGACGGGTCCCCTTGTAAAATAAATCTGATCCCATCCACCTCAAAACTCATCGTCAACTTCTTCCAGTAGCCTAGACGTCTCCCAATGAGTAACCAGGTGATACCCAGGACGATGTCAACTCCTCCAAGTTCAAAGGGAAAAAATCCTGCTTATGAATCCCCTGCACATCCAGAGTAATCTGCCGACATACCCCTTCCCTTTCACAGTTACGCCATTTCCCACCATTACCCCAAACATTTTCCCTTTTTCTACTGCAATCCCAAGCCTTTCAACCAACTCCGAGAAATAAAGTTGTGTGATGCTCCGCTGTCAACCAGCACCACCACTCTGAATCCTTAATCTGACCCTTTACCTTCAAAGTTTGTTGATGATAAACCCACGATGGAGTTCATGGACAGCGCTAAGTCGTTTCCCTCTGGGCTGTGATTTTCTTCATTTTCGGTGGGTTTTCGTTCTTCTCAGAGTCGTCGTCGTCTAACACCAGCAAGTCTTTGATTTGCTCCGACAGCGGTGATTGGGGCCAAATTTTTGTCACATCGGAGCACAGCCCCTTTCTCTCTTGTATTTGATATTGCTTCAGACAAACGCCGAAAAAACTCCTGAACCCCCTCGGAAACTCGCGCTGGCCATTTCCGGTGATCTCTCTTTCCTCTCGGGTGTCGTGACGATGCGATCTGGCTTGGATCTGGAGGTTTTGTTGCGTTGGGCCACCAGGCGGGTCGGGGCAGATCTGGTGTGGTGGATGTTTTGCTGGGTTGGACCACCATGTGGCCCGATTTAAGTCTGGGCTATAGGAAACGCGTGAGGAGCCTTCTGGAGCCTTGGGCTTGAATGATTTGGGCCGACACTTATCCATGATCCAGTTTTCTCCTCCACGCGATGGGCCTGTCAATTACTTCTTGCAGTGAACTGGGCCTTAACACTCTTAGTTCAGCCGTATTTCCTCCCTAAGCCCATTAATAAATACTCCCATCAATATTTCTTCCCCTAAGTCCTTCAACGGTGCTGTTGGGACTAAACTCCTCTCTATATTCAGTCACGGTGGAGTGTTGTTTCAGCGCCACCAGTGCCTCGTGCGCAGAGCCTTGGAATGATGGCCGGAATCTGGTGATTAGAGCGCCTTGAACTCATCCCATGTTTTGAAAGGTTCTCCCCTTCCATCCATTGGTACCAATTCAATGCTACCCTCATACAGACTGCCGCGGCTTCCACCATCTCTGATGATCCAAATTTGTTTAGAGTGAAGTATCGATCGGCGCGGAAAGTCAACCAAAAGGATTTCTCCACTGAAAATTGGTAATTCCAGTTTCCGGCCTTTTTTCTTCCTTCCCACTTTCTCCACTTGTTTCTTGTTCCAGTTCTGGTAATTCCCGGATTCTGTTTTCTCGTTGTTGAGTGAGGACTCCTTTTCATGGTTTCGTTTTCATCCCTCTCCTCTCTCAACCTCATCAATTCCCTCATCTAATCAAGTACTCCTTAAGACTCCACATATGTTTTAATGAACTATATCTTCTGACAGCTTCATCTCTTTTTCCACGTTTCCATTCTACCTTCCATCTTCGACTTGACCATTCCCTGCTCTGATACCAAATGTTGGAACCCTCCTGTAACAGAGAAACTCACAGAACCAACACACACACACACAAGGCAATAGCAAGGTAATAGGAATAACAGATTGTATTAATAGCTACTGAATGAAAGAACAGAACAAATGCAATTAGCAAACTGATAAATCCCAGCAGTTCGAGGAGCTGGGGACCTCCCACCCAATTTCCAGAATATAAACTATTTCCTACCCTCCACTCTCTTTCCCATTTATAAGCAAGTTATTCCCTTCTGTAACAGACTTGACAGCCACCTGTCCAGCCACCTGTCCAGACTCATAACAGACTCCAACATCCTAACAACTTTTATTGTACACCTCAACCCCTGAAAACAAACTCATACCCAGCACCTCTTTATTCTTATTCCTACTTTTGCCCTTGGATTTATAGACCTTATGTATGGGAGGTCTAACACAAACATTATGAGCTACTCCTCCAAATCATGAATCCATTTTTTTTGTTGTTCAACTGTGTGCCTTAGCTCTGCTGCATCTGTTGTATCTTGCTGCTGAGTCACTAAGAATGCAAAATTCTGGTTGAAGCCGGAAGCTTTACCAAGCAATTCCTCGCATATTTCAGCTTCCGATCTTTCACTTTCCCCTGCCTGGGTTTCCTCTTGCATCTCAATCATTTTCTCCTGCCATCAATTCATACCACATGCAATAAGTCCAGCAAGAATTTGGTATACAATAGATAAAATATAATAACATTTAACACCATTTATTGAATGTGTCTAGTATGAACACCGCATATGCATCTCATCCATTCTCATCCACCAATATCTAAGTTTTGCTTATGTAAGTTTCTAAGTCTAGCAAGAGTTATTTTGCTTATGTAAGTTTCTAAGTTTCTCATCTATTCTAATATTGCACTAAGGATAGTGTAGATGTGGTTGTTTGCGACAGTTGTACTCCTATGTTTGGCCTTATCATTTGCAAGTACAATATAATATGGAAACTAGAAATTACAGAACTACAAGACCACTCTTGACAATGGCTTATTAAGATCCAGGCCCCAGACAATGTGAAAACAGTAACAGTTATGGCCTATGGGTCATGCATTATTTATTACTAAAATGATATAGTATTACCATTCTTAGTTTGTTATTAATTTGAGTATAATACTATAAATATGATGTTGCTTCAATATTATCACTCACAGAAATACAGAACAAGACCAACAGCGTAATGCATGAAAAATCAACAAACCCAAATAACAAAACTTTTAGACTTCGCAAAATAAGAAGATAAAAATTAATCTGACTAAAAGAAAAGCATCAAACTTCTTGATAAACAGACATTTTAATATTATAAACATGACTTCGCTATGATATCACCAAAGAAATACACAAGACCAACAATCTAAAATACCAAAACATTGTTTACTAGACAAATAAGCATTGAATTGAGTAGTCTCTTGCACAAGAAATTAAGTAATAATAGACATAAGCGATGAACTTACATATAGCTCTCTTGCTTGTTCATTAACTCACCCTTTCTCGGCGCTCCAATGAGTGTCGTGAAACAATTGTATTGGATTGACCGAATCCCTAAGTTGTTGTGCCTTAACAGTTTATAATGTCAATGATAACCAAAAAAAAAAAAAATTAGTAAAATCGCTGACAAAGTTGTTTTTTAGTGTAGATGACAAATTGTAAATACCTTTTCCTTTTTGTGCTGAATAAAGTTCTTTGAACCAACTGAAGCTTATATACATACATTGTAAATAAAAGACAAACCCAGCATCTTATATGAAATAATAACTTAATATTAAGTTAAAGCATATAATGGAGTAGACTGTTAATTGGGTAGTTTGTGGAGGGCAATGCAGTTACCGAGGATATTGATTAATTAGATTATCCAATTTGCTACTAATCCGAGATACAATTAATATAAGCTACCAAACATTGAGCTAATTAACTTAATGCTCTCATAGTTAATGATTTACTTACTAATATAAATGTCGATTGACTGATGAAAAATCTAATAAAACCTTTATAAAATTAGTCACATTAACTCTTGGCACTATCCTATTTTCTTTCATATAAATTTAAACAGTTTCTAATTGTTTAAATTTATGCCAATCAATGAGCATGTCCATGATAGAAAAGGGGTAGAGTCTTAATGGTTGAAATTAAGAGGCGGTCCAGAATCTGCTGACTGACACCAATAGGATTATTGAGGTCCATTTGTCAAAACTAGTCGAATAGAGTACTACTACCTGAGGGATTTGACTCTTTATTGAAACTGAATAAGCTGGGCAATTAACTGGGTTACTTTTCTGTTTATCACCTTCTCAAATGATAAGCAAACATTGGAGACATGATCTGAAATCTAAGTGCTTATATGCGCCTAATGAAGTTAACAAATATCATTATTTTACTTGTGTCTGCAGCAATTTCGGGAGTCGGATCTGAAGGCTGAATGGTGTCAACATCAGCTGCCCTTCGAGCTAAGGATCTTCTTGTTCCAGGAGCCATCTTCGCAAAGATCAGCATAAATAAACAACATCAAGTTAAATATAACAAGCTATATAAATTCAACTAACCAAATCAGATCATTAACTACAATTAAGCAAACATATAATCAACAAAGGTTAAATGTTTTTCTAATTTTTTTTTTTTTTTTAATTCATCAATCAAACTCCTTTTATAGTTACAATCGGCAATCCATGTGATTGCTTATCTTAGCCGTTTATTTGTACAAGAACAAACACACCAAGAAGAGATGCTGATTGTAGGATCTTTTCCATTTTCTTTTTTAGAACTTATCAGCAAAGTTTGAATGTGAGCTGGAACTTTTTAGTAGCAGAGTTGACTGCGAACTGGAGCTTTTCAGCAGCAAGGTTTGACTATTTTCTGCTGGGATTGAGTTTGAGTGCAGCTTGCATAACTCACAAGTAAACCTAACCAAAACGTTCTAGATGGGGGCAATAATTTACACGACATTTCATCATTACAAAGTTAATCTCCCCCATTGTTCATTTAACTTTCCAAAATGACTACGTTTCAGTCTCGGAGTTATGATTCCCTGTACCAATAGCAGAGTACAAGATCTATGAAATAAAAACCAAAGCGAACACGAACACAAGTGAACTTTGTAACAGTCTTTAATTTGTTCTAAAATGAGGATTTCTTTATTCGTGTGTGTCTATTGTTTTTATTTTTCTCTTTTTCAGTTGTCTTTAAAATCTATTTATGGATTGAATGAAAAAAAGCATGAGTAAAGGGTGGAAAGGAGGCAGCTGAAAATCTGCGCTAACACATGCCTTTCTGAGCTTTTCAAAGCCATGGCGGACAAGAACTTATTTGTACAGAAAAGTTCGTAATCCTTGTCACTTAACATCTCAACCATTCAATCTAGCTTACAACAAACACAAAATATGACATTGTAAAAGAATGAGCTTTGACATAAAAATAAAAAGAAGTTACCTTCAATGGAGTAATGTAGGCGGCAAAAGTAGATTCAAGGAGATGTAAAGTGATTGGAGTGCGTGGAGAAGAAGAGGACGCGGGTAAGAATAGTAGATTCGAGGAGATGGTAAAGTGAAGAGGGAAATTGGAGTGCGTGGAGAAGAAGAGGACGCGGGTACGAATAGGGAAATTGGGATATTAGGGATTTGGTTTTAAGTTTGGGTTTATATAGGATGGCCCTTTTATTTATCTGATTAGTTATTTGTTTGTAACAAGCAAATTTAATCACCGTTCCTAACTTTCATCGTTTGTAAACTATCAATAGCAGCTAATATTTTAGTAATTGTCAGAAATAACATTTTGCAACTAATGTTGTAGTTGCCATTGTAAAATTTTGATATCCAAACTTTTTGTAACTAATTGATTTTGATTATCAGTAGTATATATTATTTTTAATAAACAATATTTAGTGGTTAACATTTTGGTTGCGAAAAAATCTTATTAACAACTATAACTTTAATTCCCAAAATAACATACCCAAAATTTCAATGTATTTCAAGCGGGAAAATGGGGCGCCCAAATTGATTTTGCAGAATTTATCATACATTTGGCAACTAAAATCTTAGTTGCCAAAAGAGGATAATTTGCAAATAATTAATTAGTAATTTAAAATATTATTTTTTTATTTTACTGGGAAAGTGGGAGCCAAATTTTTTTATCAACTTTTAGCAACTAAATACATTTTAATTGCTATACATTAGTTTTTCAACTATTTGTAATATGCACAAAATAATTAGTTGCCAAATGTACCTTAGGCCCTTTGTAATTTTTGTTAGAAGTTTGGATATTTAGGTAATTGTATCATTTTGTAACTAATAAAAATAGTTACAAATTAATTAATAAATATTTGCATCTAATTTAGCAACTATTTAGTAGTTGCAAATAATTGTTTTCTGTAACCATAATTTTAGTTACGGAATTTCTTGTTGTAGTTGTCAATTGTGTTGTAATGCTGGAAAAATTTACTGCACAAGAATTGACAACAAAATAAATTAGTCACTAATGTGATATTTTCGACAACAAATCAAATTAGTTGCAGAATATTAATTTTAGACTCCAAAGGCTAGAATAAATGGGCCCCAAAATTTTATTCCCCATTGATCGACTGTTAGGGCCAAAAATCGTCATTGGCCCAAATAGGAAAATGGGCCCGATAGTGAGGAAGAAGCCAAACCCAATCCCGATACGACCCAATCCGGATTAGGCTCATTTGATACAAGATACAGCCGGCCCAAACCATCTGAGCACAAGCCTCCTAATCCCAGTTCACTTCCTGGATCCACGAAAGAATCCAGAGCCCACGGCCCCCACATATCACTTTCCTATTCTTGATCAATCTCCTATTCAAGGTCATCTTCCTGTTCATATCACTTTCCTACTCGAAGTTGCTTTCCTGATTGGGATCACCTTCCTATCCGGGTACTGGTAAGACAGCTCACCACTGCTCTAACTCCTCTAGGGCTGTATCAGAATCGCACTAGGACTCCTACTTCTACCAGGATTGAGAGACCAGACGGTCACTATATAAACAGAGGCCAGCCCTCTCACAAGACAGATGACATTACACCTTCACACCTGAAGCTCTGACTTGAGAGCCTCACATCACTTTCGTAGTCACAGTCCCCGACTAGACTTTCGGTAACCTCTCTACTCTCTAGCCCTCATTATACTAGTCTCTTTCAGCCTTGCTGACTTGAGCGTCGGAGTGCCTACGGCAAACACCACCCCGATGTTTCCTGTTCGCTTCACACGTTTGTTTCTCTACGTGTGCAGGTGCAGCGGATCGCTAATGGCCTTAACCTCACGGGATCAGACCCCTCTTCCGTACATGTAGATTTTTACGTCTACATCAACCAATTAGAATTTAGTTACTAAATGTGGGTGTCTGCAACTATTTTTGCCTTGCAAAAATAGTTGGTTGCAGAAATTTCTTTTTCTTGTACTGTTATATGGAATCCAAATTTGATTATAAAGTTAGTAAATATGACCATATATAAGGCTTAGACACTAAAAGAAAAAAAAAAAAAAATCTGATATTTCAAATGATGTGCACTTGAATTTAGGAAGTTGTCTCCACAGAAATTGTCCCCAAAAGTCTATAAATAGATACCTTATCTTTGTAGTTGGGGCAGAAATACAGAATTGCTCCATGTTCAATAATGACTTCACTTCTCATCCTCCTCCTATTCCTCCTCCCAGCCTTTCTCTTGCTTCTTCACAGGCATAGAAAAACTAACAGAGCTAGTGTCCATTTGCCACCTGGTCCCAAAGGTCTTCCTTTAGTTGGTAATTTACACCAGCTTGATAGCTCAAAACCTCAATACTCTCTTTGGAAACTCTCCAAACAATATGGTCCTCTTATGTCTTTGCGCCTTGGTTTTGTGCCAACCCTAATAGTGTCCTCTGCAAAAATGGCAAAAGAGGTCTTCAAAACGCATGATATTGAGTTTGCTAGTAGACGTAACTGGACTGGCCCGCAAATGTTATCTTATAATTGCTTAGATGTGGCTTTTGCACCATATAGTGATTACTGGAGAGAGATGAGAAAAATATGTGTCATTCATCTTTTTAGTTCTGTGAAATCCCAGTCTTTTCGACCCGTTCGTGAAGGCGAGGTTTCTCTCATGATTGAAAAGATATCTAAATTATCAGTGGATTCTCAATGCTTCAACTTAACTGAGCTAATGATATCTTTTACAAGCTGTATTATTTGCAGAGTTGCTTTTGGCAAGAGGTACGAGGACGGAGGAATTGAAAGAAGCAGATTTCATGCACTTCTTAATGAAATTCAAGCCATGTTTGTAGGCTTCTTTTTTTCAGATTATTTCCCTTTTATGGGATGGCTTGATAAACTCACGGGAATGGTCGGTCGCCTCAAAAAGAACTTCACGGATTTTGATACGTTCTACCAAGAACTTATCGACGACCATCTAGATCCAAATAGACCAAAAACTGCGCAAGAAGATCTAATTGATGTTTTACTTCAAATTCGAAAGGATCGCGGATTTAAATTTGATCTTACTTTGAATCACATCAAAGCACTGCTCATGGTAATTTACTGTGTTTCAATTCAGTGTATATCAAATATTACTCGCTAATCGCTTTATGTTTCTTAATGATTTAGTTTTCTTTTGCAGAATGTATTTGTTGGTGGCTCAGACACGAGTGCAGTTACCGTAGTTTGGGCCATGACCTATCTAATGAAGAACCCTGGAGCGATGAAGAAAGGTCAAGAAGAAATTAGATCAATAATCGGAAGTAAAGGTTTTGTAGATGAAGATGATTGTCAGAATCTCCCTTATCTTAAAGCCATAGTGAAGGAGACAACGAGATTGCAACCAACGCTTCCGTTACTAGTCCCAAGAGAAACAACCGAGAAGTGCATCATAGAGGGATATGAAATACCAGCTAAAACACTTGTTTATGTGAATGCATGGGCAATGGGAAGGGATCCTGAAATTTGGAAGAATCCTGAAGAATTTAATCCTGATAGATTCATTGGCAGTTGTATTGATTTGAAAGGACAGCATTATGAACTAATACCATTTGGTGCTGGGCGAAGAGTTTGTCCAGGGATATTCATGGGACTTGCGACTGTGGAGCTTTCACTCGCTAATCTTCTTTACAAGTTCAATTGGGCATTGCCGGAGGGAATGAATAAGGAAGACTTGGATTTTGATTGTTTACCCGGTCTTGCCATGCACAAGAAGAATGCTCTTCGGCTAATGGCTACAAACCATTATGATATGCACGCAAATTAAGGCACAAAAATTATTGAATTTCTGTTGTGTAATTTCCTAATCGTATAATTGTTGTTTACTATATTAATCGTGCTTTTTATTTTGGTTTACATGAACTAGAGCCAGATTGGAGTGAATGTTATTGGTCTAGTACTATAATATTTATTTGTTGTGTTATTCTGTTAAAAAAAAAAAAAAAATCTAAAATAACGTAGAATTTTTTTCTTTTTAATTTATCTTTTTATTCAATATAATTGATAACTATTATTTAATTAATATCTACGTAACATACATTTATTGTTGGAATTAAAATTGAACTCACTAACAAATGACACCTTGAGAGCTAATGGTATAAATATAATACGAAGGCAACTCATCTTTGATGGTTGGTTTTCAAATCAAATATGAATAAGTGTTTTATGAAAAAGTATTTTCAGAATTTTTGTAAAGTTAATTCTAGTTCAAGGCTGAAAATGGTTCGCATCATGTTTGGGTTCCTCTCTCAAATATTGTCCAGAGAAATATATTTACGCATAAAGTTGTATTCACATGGCATCTGGTAACATCAAGTTTATCTTAAAACAATGGTCATTCCCTTTCCAATTCTACAACACAGTTGTTGTTTAAGTTTTCAACATATTCGATTGTTTAAGAAAACTCCACAATTTTGAGATAAGGAGGAGAGCAAAGAAGAGAAATAATGATCTTTTGCAGAGAAAAAAATATTCTAAACAAATAAATGCTGCTCCTAGGCCCTAGCTAAGACCACCTCAATCGAAATAGAACAAATTAATTTTGGTGTTTGGCCTTCCCATACTACTGTTGATAGAAAATATCCAGTGAGCATTATTTGGCCCCGATACAGTACTCCCATAACTGTAGGGTCCTGGTGTTGTCATTATTCATGAATAATTGCCACTTACAAACAAACCACTTGTGAACTGCCCTCTCGGCCTTTTGGCTCATTATTGACTGCAAAGTTGCGGTTGGAGAGGGGCTGTCTTTTTCTTGCAGCCCCACCTCCTCTGAATGCGTTTCCTCTTATGAATGACGCACACCAAATTTGTGTGCTAATAATGTGATATTAATTATAAATTAATATTAATTAATAGTGAAGATTTTACTATATTATTTTGATGTATAAATTTGGTGTGTATATCATTCGGTAATTGTATTATTTTTTTTACTTATTTGTATAGCCTCTTATATGGAATAATAGTATTCAAGTGAATCATATAACTAAATAAAAAATAAAAGATATAATAGTTATTTTATATTAATTTTATGTAATTTTGTCTGATTGTATAATTCAGGTATAAGTAAAACATTATTGATAATTTTTGTCATTGGACATGACCAGGGCTTTTGATGGTATAGGAGTCTTCTCCATAGGTTATAAATTTTTTCTTTTCATACAAAATAAATCAATTCAGGGCCTACAGTCTAATATGAGCTCATAATAATCACTACCAATTTTATACAAACTATCATTGTTTATTTTATTAGTAGTTATTTACTTATTTTCATTTATTATTTATGAAATTAACGAAAATATCTTGTTTCAAAATTATTGTCTTTCACAATAGAAGAACTCTTGGAGAATCTTTTCTCTTGTGGTTAGATGGTAAATATTTTAGTCACTGGGGTTAGTTATACACAGAAGGTCTTGTTTTCGAGTTGTAGGAGAAGGAGAAAGAAAACTCGATCTCTAAAAATTAAAGAACATATAAAAAAAACTCAAAGAGATTATAGAAAAAATAATAATCATATTTTAAGATTTTACTTATCTTATTACACAAAAATCTCAATATATCATATTTGACATGATTGTATTTAAACTTATTGTGTACTTATTTTATTGAGAATCTTGAATGTGGTAACATTTCACATTTTAGCAGTAAACGTCATGTTCACTTACAGTTCAAACGTGTTTAAGCACCAATTCAAGCGATTCAAATGTTCCACCGAAGAAGAAAATGATAGAACTATGGGGTTTGAGGCTTTGAGCTTTTTAATAATGCCATAACGCTACACTTCGAGTGTTCTTGCACTGAGCATTCCAAATTTCTCAACAAGGAATATCAGATTCTAAGCTATAGCCGGGAGTTCTCAACCAGGTTATGAAATTTCTTTTTCTCTTCCAATTTATTTTTCCTAATTTGTGTAATTGCACCTGCCATGGTTTCGCCGGTTACTGCAAGCACCGTAGCACACTCAAATTGCTTAAATCCAACAAGCTTTTTAATCGCTGCCACATCAGTGCCCTTTCTTAGCTTCAACTGTAGAAGCATTATATTCATATTGTTTTACTTCAACAATTGCAGAAGTATAAATTCAAAAATTTCATCGTAAATATGAAATACGTATGGAAATCAAAATGCGGGAGAAATAAAAAAGATGCAAGGTCATTTGTCTGCTTGGCTAGTCAAACATGGCTAGTTCATAGATCTTTAGGCTTCAATTACGAAGGAATAGAAACTTTACAAATAAAGCCCGAGGATTGGCATTCCCTTGCTGTCATTTTATATGTATATGGTTATAATTATCTACATTCTCAATGTGCCTATGATGTAGCACTAGGTGGACTGTTAGCCAGTATGTATCATCTTACGAGAATAGAGTATGGTGTAGAGCAATCAGAAGAGGTATGCATAAAAGTATTTACTCCAAGGAGTAATCCTAAAATTCCATCAGTTTTCTGGGTTTGGAAAAGTGTGAATTTTCAAGACGGGAATCTTATGATATGTTGGGAATCTTTTATGATAATCATCCATGGCTGAAAGCCTGAAACGTATCTTAATGCCTAAAAGTTGGATCGGATGGCCCTTATGTAAGGATTATATTGCCCCCAATTTTTATGAAATACAAGATGCTTATTGAAGAAACCAATCTTCATTTTTACAATTCCCGCTATTCAAGAAATGTTTGTACGTTTTTGTCTAGATCAAATAGAGGAATTGAAGTCCATTCGTATTATTATTTTGAATATTATGAATGGATTAAATATAAATAAATTAAATAGAAAAAGAAAAAGACAATACAATTAAGAATTCTTTGAGATTCTTAAAATTGGAATATGCTTATTTCGGATGAGCCCAGCCAATAGGATGAACTAAAAATAACAATTTTAAAATTAATATATAAATATCTATGATGGGTCTAAACTCAGCATTTCTCTAATCATTTATCCTATCTAGAAGTTTATAGGCATAGAAAAAATCTAGAATACTACCATGGCACTAGTGGCATTATATGTTCATATCATTTATACCATGGTCCAATGAAATTGTCACATTTGAGTTTCCCTATATTATTATCTTTAGATTGATTGTGATTGGTAATTATTAAATAAAAATAACGACTTGGCATGCATGGATTAATTTATGGTACCACATTAACAAGACTACCTTGATATCCAAAATTATTTTGCATGAGAATGATATCCTATGATCGAGATCGACCAACCTATTAGAATAATCGGCCTGCGCATTAGCCGCCGTGGTGGCCCAGTTTATGATGTTTCATTAATTCATTTTATAAATATACTTAGAAGAATATTATTGTATCGAAAATGATTCTTTTCATGTTATATAATTGTGAAATATATTAACAAGAACTTTGATATAATATGAGTTTTTATTACTTAACATTTCTATAATCAGCCTGCGTATCTTCTTTTCTCTATGTAAGCTTATTTTTCAGATAGAAGCTACCAATCAAATGGGAAATTCATGGGTTCCCCTGTTTTGTCAGGAAAAAGTCCACTAAACTTTGTCATTTCAATTGTCTTTTTTTCTTTTTTTTTTTGGGGGGTGATCGGGGGTATCCAAGCTAGCTTATGCACTAATCTCTCGGGGCTCTAAAGTTGACAACTGGATAAATTTCCTCAGTGGCTATCTCTATTAGCAATGAAGATGGATCGAACTCAAAACCTCTTAAGTAATACACCCAAGAATCATCGTTGACTGTTAGACCACCCAGTGGTGGTTTAAAAGAGTTAACTGTGATTTTTTATTTTAGTGATTAGGGGTGTCTGAGTGTTTGTGCGTACTTCAACCAATCCTCCGAGACCCTGAAGTTGACAGCCAGGTAAATCCCCCCATGAGGCCACCTCTATTAGCAACCCATATGGATTAAACTTAGGATCTCTTGAATAATACATCCAAAAGTTCTAGTTGATGTTGAAACATCCGGTGATGGTTCATTTCAAATTGTCATTGATGACGAAAGAAAATAATATTTCATTCTCATTGATGATGAAAGATAATTTTAGTGGAACAAATACAGAAAAGAAATTAATATCCATAATCACGATCAATTGGATATATCTTGTTGACTTTTAATTTAAAGCTTAAAATACCATTAATTTTTATATTAACGTAAATCAAGTTCTCGAAATAGACAGAGAAATTTGTTTGGCTTTTGCAGGCTCTTTTTGTGTAATTAGTAGGGTTCGGTTATCTGTGTGTTCTTGGCCGTTTGGCTTAAGTTTTCTTTTGGCTCCTCTGAGCCTTTGCTTAGCCATGTCACTTGGGAATGCCAAGGTTGTGTGTCTAAAGGGATGCTCCCTTTCTGGGCTGTAATTCTTTATTCTTTCCCTAATACAATGACTGAATTTATCAAAAACGAAATAGACTGGAAAATGGCTGATGACGATGAATCCCAAATCAGGGTCAGCCACGGGCACAAAAGCTACCGTTTCTCCCAAACTCATTTCACTTGTCAAATATGACTCCCCCATGTCTTAGTTGTTCCGAAGTTCTTGGCTCCTAGCTAAGCCACGTACCCACGTGAAAGGCATTCAACATTTTTTGTTACAGAATACTATGCTTTATACACATTTTGGAGAATTATCATTAATTGCGTTTATTGCTTTGACAAAAGTTTACAATATTATTGACTATTTTCTACTATTAGTCTCCATTCTCGTCTAATTAATTCATGATTTCAAACATTACTTCACCACGGAAGAGAATAACAAACTTATAATGAACCAGGATCTTTAGGAAGAATACAAAAAATGTCCTCTAATTGGAGCCTAAGTACATTAATTAATTAATGGCTCGACTAATATCTTCACCCAGTTTGAGACGTCACATGAGGGAAAAC